TTCTAACCTCAGACGTGGAGGGCCTCGAACCCTCGCCGTGACGAATCAAAGTCGTGAGCGTTACCACTAGGCCATGGTAGACACAATTACAAAACCACCATTGAGTTAAAATAATACAGAAGGAAGGAACTGAAAAAAAAAAAAAAAAAAGTTTATTAACATTATCCCAGTGAACGACCCTTCTTCCAGAGAGGTCCGGACACAACCCCCGATAACTTATATAAAATATATATCGAGAAGGACAAAAGTAGTCTCCGTGGCAAAATGGTAGCGTCTGCGACTCTGAGGCGGCAGGTCGAGGGTTCGCGCCCCGTCACGGACTGAGGTTAGAGAGGGCATACACTCAGGGTAACGACTACATCTTCCAAGACAAGTCCTTCGTAAGAAGGCAACCGTCATAGCCCTTAGTAGAAAAAGGGAGTTCGTGACGAAAAACCAAATCCATCGAGAAGGACAAAACGCACATGCCAAGTACTTAAAGATAAATAACTTAGGAAAAAAAGGAGTATAAGAACATGATTCCACGGGTCACCAGCCTAAAACCACTTGTCCAATACGCAGTAAGAGGAGATAATAAAGAGGCTCCCATACCACCCTTCATAAAACATACATAGCCCTTGCCCTTAAGTCCTCTTCCTCTTCTTCATATTTTTTCTTCTTCTACTTATTACTGTTGTGCTGCCTAAGTCCTCCTTTTTTTCTTCTTATTTTTGCTTCTGCTTATTGCTGCTGTGCTGCTTAAGTCCTCCTCTTTTTCTTCTTATTTTTGCTTCTGCTTATTACTGCTGTGCTGCTTAAGTCCTCCTCTACCTCTTCTTATTTCTGCTTCTGCTTATTACTGTTGTGCTGCTTAAGTTCTCCTCCACCTCTCCTTATTTCTGCTTCTGCTTATTACTGTTGTGCTGCTTAAGTTCTCCGCTGCTGCTTAAATCCTCCTCTTCCTCTTTTTCTTCGTATATCTGCTTCTGCTTATTACTGCTGTACTGCTTAAGTTCTCCTCTACCTCTTCTTATATCTGCTTCTGCTTAGTACTGTTGCTACTGCTTAAATCCTCCCCTTCCTCCTTTTTCTTCGTATATCTGATTCTGCTTATTACTGTTGCTGCTACTGCTTAAGTCCTCTTTTTCCTCTTCTTTTTCTTTTTCTTGTTTCTGCTTATTACTGCTGCTGCTGCTTAAGTCCTCTTTTTCCTCTTGTCTTTCTTCTTCTTGTTTCAGCTTATTACTGCTGCTACTGCTGCTTAAGTCCTCTTTTTCCTCTTCTTTTTCTTCTTCTTGTTTCTGCTTATTACTAGTCCTACTGCTTCTTCTTCTATAATATTTCTCTTTTTTCCAATTCTTGTTCTTCATCTTCTCTCTCTCATTTATCTTTTTCTTCTTGTGATTCTTACGTGCATTGATTTTTATTCTTCGTCTTCCTCTTAATCTCTTTCATTCTTCCTCTTTGTTATATCTTTATATCTTAGTCTTTTTCTCTTTACCATTCTCCTTTTTCTTCTTGTCCTTATTTCACATTCCTCTTCATCCTACTTCTTCCTCTTCCTTGGCTTCTATTTTTCCCTTCCTTCTCTCTAGCATTCTTCTTCTTCTTCTTCTTCTCCTCCTCCACCTCCTTCTTCTTCTTCTTCTTCTTCTTCTCCTCTCCACCTCCTTCTTCTTCTTTTTCTTTTTCTTCTTCTTCTTCCTTCTCTTCTTCTTGCCCCTCAACGGTCACTTACTTACAAGGCTCTGTGTACTACGTAAGTATATACAATGAATACTGACAGGTAAATAACCTTAAGAACGGGATTTGGGACTCTACCACCATCACATACTGTAGTTACCAATACACATACAAGTACGTAGGGGAACCCAGACGTTTCAATAATACACATAAAAGAGACCCAGGTCACATACACCAAGACATACAGGGACAGTTAGGTCAATAACCAGAGAGCCAGTATGCATACACAAACTTACACAAAATTACGTTTATGTAAATACACATAATGAGCTCCGGTTACATACACTTAGACAAATACCCAAAGAGCCAGAATACATACACAAGTATACACAAAGTTACGTTTACGTAATTACACATTAAGAGCTCGGGTGTACATACACTTAGGCAAATACCCAAAGAGCCAGTATACATATACAAACATACACATAGTTACGTTTACGTAAATTCACATAAAGAGCTCCAATGTACGTATACTTAGGCAAATACCCAAAGAGCCAGTATACATACACAAACATACACAAAGTTACGTATACGTAAATACACATAAAGAGCTCCGGTGTACATACACTTAGGCAAATACCCAAAGAGCCAGTATACATACACAAGCATACACATAGTTATACATACATTTAGGTATACAGGGAGAGGCAAACAGGTAAAAGGTAAAGAAAATATACATACGAAGATAAATAAGAAATTGAGATATACAAGGATGGATGGATACAATGGAAGATTAATTTAATAGTTGTCGAAAGTAGCAGATAGGGTAGGGGGAGGTATAAGTTCTCAGCACCTAAAAAATATCAACAATACCTATATAAATAATTTCCTAATCTTGTGAAACAATCAGAGAGGAAAAATAAGTCGCAAATATTCAGTTCATTTCCGTAGGAAAACGCAAAATTATGTATGGGGTTCCTTTGTGGGGGAAAAAAAATGTATATGCATCGAAGAACTAAAATATGAGATATTCCTCTACTTAAAGGCACGAAAAGAAAGAGGCAATCCCACTGGAAAAAAAAAGGAGTCTTCCTTTTTCTGCGACTAAAAAATGATTAGATAAATAATAATATCCGTTCTCCTTGACCGAAGAAACACGAAAATTACTTGGACAATCCTCTTTGCAGAGAAATTAAAAGATTAAGTCTCACTGTCTGCAGAAAATCACAAAAAAGGGCATTTCTCTCTCTCTCTCTCTCTCTCTCTCTCTCTCTCTCTCTCTCTCTCTCTCTCTCTCTCTCAAGAAGCACTAAAATGGGTATCCTATTCTGCAAAAATGAATAAAAATATGCGATGGCTCTCATTCTGCCGAAAAAATATGATTCCATTTGTTAAAAATAAGAAAAAAATTAAAAAGAGAAAGGCCTCCTCTCTGAAGAAAAAAAATATAAATATGAAGCCTCCCTTTTTCCGGAGAGAGAGAGAGAGAGAGAGAGAGAGAGAGAGGAGAGAGAGAGAGAGAGAGAGAGAGAGAGAGAGAGAGAGAGAGAGAGAGGAGAGAGAGAGAGAGAGAGAGAGAGAGAGAGGAGAGGAGAGAGAGAGAGAGAGAGAGAGAGAGAGAGAGAGAATTAAATATGTAAGGTCTCCCCTTTTGTAGACAATAATTTAAAAATATTTAAGACCTCCCTTTCTATAGCCAAGGACAAGAGTTAAAAGACACGAGGCCTCACTTTCCCCCAGAAAAGTTGAAAAATGAATCCAGCCTCTCTCTCTCTCTCTCTCTGAAGTGTACGAATGGTTGTTTTAATGTGTAAATATTTTGATCATGTGCTTTGCAAATTTTGTGGGGCCTATCTGGGTATCAGAGAGGAATTTCTATTCAATGTTACATTTTGAATTTTTACACTTGTAAATAGAGTAATTATCATGTAATCCATTTTTGATGGAATAAAGTTTTTTTACTTTGACTTTGAACTTTGACACACTCTCTCTCTCTCTCTCTACGTAAAAAGTATCAAACCAAAAGTAAGGCCTCTCTTTCAGCAGAAAACACTTCAAGACATACGAAACCTCTCTCTTTCTGCAGAGGAGCACCAAGACCTTTTCTGATATGATGCCTCTCTCTCGCATACACTTAGGCAAATTGGCGGGCGCAACCCATCAACAAACTAGCCCTTGATTAGGGGGGAGAGTGGTTAATAGTATAGATTTTCTTGGCCGAGGTTAAAATGAATGTTATAGCTTGTGTAAGCAGTCAAAGGAGAAGCTGTTAATCCCGTAACTATCTCTCTACAACAATGACTATTATTTGTAGTAATAGAGATAGAGAACAAATACATTAAACATGCAGCTATTGCTTGGAGTTTAGCATACATGGATTTATACATTCGAAATACAAACGAGCTCTCTCTCTCTCCTCTCTCTCTCTCTCTCTCTCTCTCTCTCTCTCTCTCTCTCTCTATATATATATATATATATAGATAGATAGATAGATAGATAGATAGATATATATATATATATATATATATATACTGCATAAACATATATATATATATATATATATATATATATATATATATATATATATTATATATACTGTATAAACATATATATATATATATATATATATATATATATATATATATATATATATATATATATATATATATATATATATATTTACGTCACGAACTCCCTTTTCTACCAAGGGCTAGGACGGTCGCCTTCTTAATATTGATAGTACAAAAGCATAAACTTGTCATACCAATGTCAACATTAATGCGAAATTGACATGTATATTTCATGTACTTGAGGAAAAAAAAAAAAAAACTCCTACTACTACTACTACTACGGTACACGTAAAATGTAATATCTAAAATTCGAACAAAGAGCACATAAGGAAAAAAAATGAAAAGACATTAATGCTGGTAAGAAGTAATGATAATCCCTTCACATCTGACAAGTCACAAAACTCCCCATCTCTGTTTCTCTCTGGTTTTTTAGTGCCCAGGCCCAATAATTTTTTTTTCCCGTCCGGGTGTCATTTGCAAATGGCTGTAAGAATATGCGCACAAGCAGACGGCAACAGAGGATTAATGTTGGTAATTTCAGTTAGTGAAATAAAACCATTTTTTTTTTCATAAACAATCAGGTCAAGTAACTATCAAACATTGTGTAAACACACTCGAGTAAACAGTAAAACAGAGGAATCAGTTTGTAACTGTGTACATAATTAGAAGACATCATACGGACTTATGTACATTTATTTTGATTCACTGTACATAGCGTACAGTAATAAGTAAATCGGTAGAAAATTCCTCTTTGGAAATAAAGAAATTAGTATCTGTATTCACGAACGCGACCCTTCATAAACAAACACGTGGTGACTCTTCATAAACAAACACGTGGTGACTCTTCAT